GCTTTCCTTCCATCGGTGGGTGTGCGAGAGACTTTAAACTTTCCGAAGCCGGAAGAGAGCTACGGAGGGGAAGATGCAGCCCATGTGCCTTGGACCATCGAGCGACGACTGAAGGGAGTCCGCATTCAGAGGTCCGATGAAGATGAGAGAAATCATGCTCTGAAGAAGCTTAAAGCTGTGGTGCTCCTGGACCCTTTGGCTACGGCTCTGGGTAAAAGTTTAGTGCAGAAAACGGGTGCTCTTGAGACGGAGGAGATCATTGCAGCGAGTTTTAGCGATGCTTTCAGTTCAAAATCGGCGGGTACGCTCACCAAAAGGGCTGGCTCTTTGCAGAGGCTGGTGGTTCAACTTTATAAGCAAGGGGTGGCTTCTCCGTGGCGCATGGAGGAGGCAGACTTGTATTCGGCTTTGACCACACTGCGTGAGGAAGGTTGTGGGGCAACATCACCAGCTCACATGTTGGAGAGTTTACATTTTCTTCATGCCATTGCAAGATTTTTGCATTTGGATTTGGAGCTGGTGATCTCTGCTAGATGCAAGGGTGTTGCTCATTCATGCTTTATGTCAAAGGCGCCGTTGGAGCAGCGTGACCCGCTGACATGCTTCCAGGTGCGGCGACTTGAAGAGGCAATGGTGAGAGCTGGCCCGGTTGGTCAATGTATCTTGGGACAGATTTTATTTTGCGTGCATGCCGTTTGTCGCTGGAAGGATTCCCAGAAACTAAAACTTTTGGAGCTGCTGGGCACGGGAGAGAGCCAGATTCTGTTTGGGGATGCTCTGGGAAGCAAGACGTCTTTGAGCAAGGAGGCCAAGACAAAATTTACACCATACGCGGCGCTGGCGCAGGGGCTTACTGAATGCTCTTGGGCGCGCTTGTGGATTGAAGCCAGACGCCAGTGTAGGCTCAAGTTCGGTGCTGGACCGGATGGCTTTTGCCTTCCTACGAGGTCTCAGCGACTGGATGAGTGGGGCTCCACGCCTATGGGAGCTGGTGAGGCGTCTTCCTACTTAGCGGAGATTTTGGAAGGCTCTGAAACGGAGGGACAAGTTCTGGGAACACATTCCTTGAAAGTCACCCTGCTTACGTGGGCCTCTCGATCGACAGTGGTGCGCCTGAGCAAAGGGGAACGTCTCCTGTTGGGTCACCACATTGTACCGGGGGTCAAAAGTATGGTGACTTATAGCCGCGAGGCTTATACGAGTTTGATCGGCAAGCTTTTAGCTCTTTACCGCTCGATTCGAAGCGGAGCTTTTCAGCCAGATCTCGCGCCTGCCGACAGGGTGCTACAAGTTGCTGACGCCTTGGCCGCGGCTGAGGAAGGTCAAGGCCTGGGCACAGGAGCGCGGGATGAGGCGGCCGCAGAGCAGTTGGCTGGGTTTGAGGGCGAATCGGAGGACTCCGCAGATGATGCTGAGGCCGACGGGCCCTTTGAGCTTCCAGGCCAACCTGCAGTGAGAGTGCCGTTTGCTAATGTCGATGTTTCTCAGTGCCGGATTCATAGTATATCAGGCATTGCGCATTGCCTTCGGGATGCAAGCTTCTTCTACTGTGGTCGTTTGTGCACTTCGAGATACTCCAGATATTCTGGAGTTGGGACTGAAGATCCCGATGTATGCATGCAATGTACGAGAGCCATGAACGAGTGAGGCAGAGGATATGCGCATTTGTTTTGCAGATGCTATTCCCTTGGCGCCTGGGAGCGGTGCCAGAGAGAGGGGATTCGAAAGAATATGCGTACTTGTTATGCAAATGCTACTGCCCTTGGCGCCTGGGAGCGGTGCCAGAGAGAGGGGATGAATATGCGTACTTGTCGTGCAGATGCTGCTACCCCTCGCGCCTGGGAGCGGTGCCAGAGAGAGGGGAGCCGGAAGAATATGCGTGCTTGTCATGCAGATGCTACTGCCTTGGCGCCTGGGAGCGGTGTAATATGCGTACTTGTCATGCAAATGCTACTGCCCATGGCACCTGGAAGCGGTGCCAGAAAGAGGGGAGCTGGGTGAGAGCTCGATTGCAAGTCCAATGGCATCTGGCTCCAGCTTCGAGGCAGTATCGCTTGAACTCATTAGGGAAACATGTTCATGCGTCATTGAAGTTCTGATGAGGGGATTATCTAGTGCAAGGGGGAAGCTGTCAGTTCTTTGTTCGTGAGATCGCGAAATCTTGGTGTATCATGGCTTCTGCGAACCTTGATTCGGAAGCAGCTTTCTTGGACCGCGCTAGAAAGATCGGACTGTCTGAGGAAACCCTTACAGGACTCTTGAACAACAGCTTCAACACCTTTGGCCGCCTGGCCTTTGCGGTGTCGGCTACGCCAACGACTCTCACCGACGAGGCAGTGGACAACTGGATTGATGGATTGGGCATGAGACCGTCTGGTTTTCAGAAAGCCAGCCTCCGTCGGCTCCTTTTCGAAGGAGTGAGCATGGCGATTGAAGAGGTTCGTACCCGCATCGAGCCCGGCGTGGAAGGACATCCTAAGAAGTTGGCAGCGGCGGAACGCTTGGATAGGCAGGCTAAACAGGAGAGGTCTCTGGGAGGTTTGGTTTTTACTCCTGAAACCCGGCCAGCCAACTCGTGTGTAGATCTGTGCGTGGAAATGCTTGAAACAGGTGTGTTGCAGTATCACGTTCCAAGCAAGTGGATTAGTAGGGCGCAGGAAGCACAGTGCTTGAAGAGGGACAGCAGCATAAACATTGATGCCGACAACAACCTGAAGATTGCAACCAAATCTGCAGATCAGACATGTGACGTTTCATCAGAGATGAGGTTGCGCCAGGCTTGGAGCCGCCGCTCCTTAGCCTTCGATTTGGCGAACCTTGCAAGCTTCAGGGTCATGGAGGAACATGTTCAATTCTTGTTTTCAGTTCTTCAGAGAGCGCAGCCGAAGGGCTTTCAGGGTGTCATGCTTTCACAAATCATTGAGGCAGATAAGCAGATGTTCATTCTTGCAAGCAACAACCTCATGGGACGTCTAACGGCCTCGCCAGGGGCGGCTCCTGCTTTGGACGCGGAGATCAGTAGACTGTCTAGGAGCCCTGACATCATGCAGTATTTGGCACCCTTGCAGAACCCTGTAATCCCACATGTACCTTGGACCCCTCCCAAGGGAGATGGCAAAGGCAAGAAGGGAAAGGACAAGGGGAACAAGGGAAAGGTCGCGACAGGTTCAAAGTTAGATTTGCCGGAGGGTTGTGTGACCAAAGATGATGCGAACAAGCCTTTGTGTTTCGCTTATAACACGCACGGTTGCAAGAATACCTGTAAGCAGGGCCGGTGCATAAAGGGCTACCACAAGTGGTGGAAAAAGGGTTGCTTCGGAAATCATCCGTACACCAGCTGTCCGAAGGCTGGTGCCTGAAGGTCCCTTCCATTGAGTGCGTCCATCAGTGGAGGGAGCGACGGGGGCGCATTGCAAACTGGGGACCTGCTGGTCCCTGATGCTGAGGGGTGGTCCAAGGCCCGTTTGAATAAACCAGGCCAAATCACGAGTGATGATCTCTTGACCTTGTTTGATATGCTCCCTCAGGGAAATCTTCAGAAGGGTCAGAGAGAAGTGAAACAGTCCTTCGTAACCGGCTGTTACTCCCAAGGTGGATTCCGTGGGTTGCGTAAGGAGTGTGCAGAGTTTCCATACGCAAGTCGTGTCATGACCCGCTTTGTGCAGGAGCGTCTTCCAGGTCATGTTTTCTCCACATGTGGCATTTTTGCAGACAGTCTCACGCCTTTGCATCGTGACGGCCGCAATGCGCAGTGGCCGAATGCGGTTTTTCGCTTGAGTGATTTTAAGGAGGGGGGCTTATGGATAGAGGGCCGTGGGGACGATGTTCGAGTCTTCAATTCTAAAGAGCTGGTTGGAGCGGTTCACGAAATTGGGGACGATCCGCTTATCTTTGACGCTTGGTCTAAATACCACGAAACTGAACCTTGGACAGGTCGAAGAGTTGTTCTGATCACTTGGGTTGTGCAGCAACTTGAAAAATTAGAACCGAAGGATGTAGAGGCAGCGCACCAATTGAACTTCGTGCTACCTCCTGAGGTGCCGTTGCCTGTGCAAACGGCGCAGCTGGGAGAACGGCCACCCATGGTGTTTGAGGTTTTCGCAGGCAAAGGCCTCTTGTCCCGGGCCCTGATGCAATGCGGATTCGCTGTCCACAGTTTCGACCAACATCATTGCGATTCTCATGTGCCCATCTCGCAGCTGGATTTAGCAACAGACTCAGGGCAAGCTTTGTTCTGGGACTTTCTTGAGACACAGCGCCCGTTTGCAATACATTTGGGCGCCCCATGTGGGACCAGCAGCAAGGCCAGAGGCAGACCGTTGTACAATGGACAGCCGGGACCCCAACCTCTTAGGAGTAGTGAGTTCCCGCTAGGCCTGCCCTCCTTAAAGCCGGGGTCAGTTGAGGCCACTCGTGTAAAGTTGGCAAACCGTTTGTATGCCTTCACATATCGCATTTTGCGATATTGCCTGGAGCACGACATAGTGGTCAGTCTTGAGAATCCCGCAAATAGTTTCCTATGGGAGGTGTTGCAAGCCTTTGAGCCACAAGGGGTTGCTAACCGTATCCTTCCCAGACTGCAGTCCATCATCTTTGACTTGTGTTGCCATGGGGGCTTTCGCCCCAAACGCACAAAGTTGCTTGCAACGCCTGGCTGCTTCGAGCCGTTGCGTGCCCTTTGCGATGGAAAGCACATGCACAAACCTTGGGGACAAGTTGTTGAGTTTGGCTCCGTTCGGTATGCCACCAAGGATGAGGCGGCCTACCCAGCATTGTTTGCCTCTCGCTTCGCTTCGTGTGTGGAGCGCAGGGCTTTGTCGCTAGGCCTCAACCTGTGTCGTCGCCCATCCCCTAAGGACCTCTCGCTGGCCATGTTGGGCCGACAAAACAAGCGTCATCCGCCGCTGGTTTCCGAATACCAGTCTGTGATTACTATGCCAGCCGTAGCATTCAAATCGCCAAAACACTTGAAGCTCTTGCGCAGCATCGGGGGTGAGGAGCTTCGAGCTTCCACTGAGCCAAACCCTAACACCCCTTTGGGACGGACCATCCCAGAGGCCTCGAAGCCTACCAGTAACACCTCTTCGAGAGGGACCATCTCGGAGGCCAATACCCCTAGTAGTTCACGGGATCCAGCTGAGAGGGTTGGTGACCGGGTTAGGGTTGGGGTATACAGGACTCCTGAACAGTTTGTAGAGGAGGCTAAGAAGGTCATTCATCCAGTAGATTCTTCAAACCCGCTTGAGAAAGCCACGTTGTTTGCCTTGAAAGAAAACTTGACTAAAGACCCGAGGCTCATAGTCTTGAAGCGAAACTTGGCGGTGGCGCGAGTGAAGCAGGAGGTGAAGAGATGCAGTGATGCTGAGGCGGAGCTTCGCAAGGCCATGCACCCGGCAGTGGCTAAGGTTATGAGCGGCAAATCCATTTTGGCGTTGGAATCTTTACTCAAGTCCGAGGGCTATGACGATCTTGAAGTCATCGGTTTCTTAAAAGAAGGGGTAAGGTTGGTCGGAACTTCCCAATGCCCAGAATGCTTTGATCGTAAGTTTGTCCCCGCTTTCTTGACAGAGACGGAGCTCATGGCCTCAGCGGCCACCAGACGAAAGTCCTTGTTGAGTAAGTTCGAAAAGGTAGACCCGGAGGAGGCACGGATCTTGAAGGAGGCCACGGATGAGGAAGTGGCCATGGGCTTTTTGGAGGGCCCCTACTATGATCAGAGCCAGATTACGAAATTGCTGGGAACCAACGATTGGACAGTCATCAGAAGGTTTGTTTTGCTCCAGGGGGCAGAGCTGAAACCCAGACCCATAGACAACTGCTTGGAATCCCAATTAAACGCGGGCTACAGCTCCAGCATTCACCTGCGGTTACAAGATTCGGACTACATCTCAGCCATGGCCCTCCACGTAGCGAGGGAAGTGAGCGAAGGCCGAGCGCACAAGGATGCATCGGAGTGGAAGGGCAAAACACTTGACCTCAGCAAAGCTTACAAGCAACTTGCTATCCATCCGAGTCACCGACCTCTTTCAGTAATTGCAGTTAGGCAATCGGACGGAAAGGATGCCTTATACATTTCGAACTCGCTCATGTTTGGTAGCACTGCAGCGGTTTATGCCTTTAATAGGGTTTCCAGGGCCCTGTGGTTTCTCTTGAACAAACTTCTATGTATACCAGCTGCCGTCTTCTTCGATGACTATCCTTTGATGTCGCCGGCAGGTAGCGCAGAAAACGCAGACTCCACGGCGAGTGCATTCTTGGATGCCCTAGGATGGCGTCACGCCAAGACGGGCGCAAAAGGACGCCCCTTTGCGTCAGACTTCGACGTCCTTGGTATGCATTTGGGTTTAGGTGATCTTGCTAAGGGTACTGTAGTCTTAGCAAACAAACAGGGCAGGATAGAGAGGATTGTTGACCGTCTTCAGGAAATCAGCTTGAAAGGAGAAATCCGACGACACGAGGCTCAGGTCATCCAAGGCCTGTTGCAGTACGCCTCGGGCTTTTACGCAGGCCGATCGCTGAAGCATGCGTCGCACATTCTTGCGAGGATTGTTGGGGGTCTGCACTTTAGTCCTAGGGACCTTAGTGACTTCTGTAGACACACCGTTTCTTTGCTGAAGCACGAGAACCCTAGAGTCTTGAGCTGTGCGATGATAACTGACATCATCCATCTTTGGACCGACGGATCGTGGGAAGCTGATGTTGGAGGCATTGGTCTAGCCGCCCACGATTGCTTCAGTGGAACAGGCTGGGTCTTCACAGGAAAGGTCCCGTTGCAGTTGCTTGAATCTTGGAAAGCAGAGGTAGGAGAGCAACTCATCTGCGAGATCGAGATGTTTGCTGTGCTAGCTTCCCTGCTGCAACTGAATGCTCTTGTGTCGTCTCGCCGCATAGTGTGGTGGGTTGACAACGATGCAACCAGAGGTGTCATGATCAAGGGCGCCAGCCGCAGTTGGGCCATGCACACTTTAGCCCGAGTGTTCTCTGAGCTCGACAGAGAATGGCCATCCATGTGGTGGGTTTGCAGAGTCCCATCCTACTCCAATCCGGGGGATGCGCCGTCGAGATACCAAGGAGAGGAGTCTTTGGTGACGGTCGGAGCATCTTGTGTGCAACCCTTCTCGAGACTTGAAGAGCTTGTTGGAAGGATCCAGGCCTTCAACCGAGCGTGAGATGATCTGGGGTTTGGGGCTCGCTTGAAGGCCACAGGGAGAGTGGCCGGGAGACTTCAAACCTTTTTGGTGCAGCAGCGCAGCCTCGCGAGACCCCAGATCGCTTGAAAGAAGAAAGGACCGATCCCTTTTCAAATATGTATATTGTGATTGGAAGATTTCATAATTTATAGACCTCTAAGAGGTCAACATATTTGTTGAGACATATTCGCATTTATGTTATAGTACGAATGGGGCTATAAGATTTCCCCCGGCAAGAACGAGGAAGATTTATAGGAGCTTGAAAACCACCACACCACAAAGAAGGGCGTCTTCGGCGTGCCGACTAGTCTTTCTTTTGGGGGGTGGTCAGCACGGGGAGAGTGCGGGTTTTCTAGAGCTCATGATGCATGATTTTAAACATGCTCTTTTTGAAGAATTTGTTTAGTATTGAAGAAAATTTTTCATGTGCGAAGCATGGACTTGTTGAGAATTGTTCTATGGCTGCGCTGCTACTCAAGGGCGAGAGAAAAATTTTCTTGCCCTCCCAGCCCACCCGGGTTTGGGGCTCGCTTGAAGGCCACAGGGAGAGTGGCCGGGAGACTTCAAACCTTTTTGGTGCAGCAGCGCAGCCTCGCGAGACCCCAGATCGCTTGAAAGAAGAAAGGACCGATCCCTTTTCAAATATGTATATTGTGATTGGAAGATTTCATAATTTATAGACCTCTAAGAGGTCAACATATTTGTTGAGACATATTCGCATTTATGTTATAGTACGAATGGGGCTATAAGATTTCCCCCGGCAAGAACGAGGAAGATTTATAGGAGCTTGAAAACCACCGCACCACAAAGAAGGGTTGAAACTGCATTTGGCAACCAAGATGGTCTGATGGTTTGAGAAAGGGTCAATTTGGGGGTTCAGGCCGAGTCCGGAGACAAGCTTTGGGGCTTACGTATGGCACTGTCCCATGCTGGTTCGATTGCCAGGGTCCGGCTGTTTGGGGTTTAAGAGTTAAAAAGTCCGGTCCCGGGTTGGGTTGGGTGAAGAGAGTTCGAGGTTTGGGGTTGGGGAAGGAAAAAAAGGTCCGCTGCCGCTGGAAGCTTTGGAATTTTGGGTTTGAGGTTGGTTTGGAATTTGTGGTTTTCGGCAGGTCTGGGTTTCGGGTTTGGGGTTGAGATCGTCCGAGTTGGGCCAAGTCGGTCCGGGCTTTCCATGACTCCGCTTCAAGCACCAACAAAGCTTTAATCCCGTAACCTCTACAAAACCAAACCTTATCGCTTTCAAGAACCCCAGACGGGCAACCAGGTTTCGGGGGCAGCATGGCTTTGAAGGACAAACGTCATGTCAGTTGGCAACAGCTCACAAGCTAGTTGCCTCTCAACAAATTCTGCTATCGATGACTCCATCGGAGACTCCTAAGGCGTTACAGGCCTCAGAGTGCAGTGAACTGCTCGACCCTATGAGAGCGAGCTGCTGGATCTCCGCCCAACACTAGCCAGGTACGTTTATGCAGAACCTGCATTTTTCTTGCAAGCCATGATTTGGTTCAAGTAGGCTGTGTAAGCAGTCCGACGATTTTTGCAGGTCCTTTCTTGCAGTCCGACTTCCGTTTCTCCCTGAAAAGAAGATGGCTCAATAAACCTAGTCTTGGCCCGAAACTTCCTGTACACATCAGATAAAAGCGAGAACTGTGGGTTCTGGCTTTGACCAAGTGTGGCACTAGCAAGCTTTAAACCCGAAAAGCTCTACTTCTTGCTTGGCTGGGAACACTTGTGCAGTGTTCTGGCATCGATGATCAGAGAAGGTTCCAAACATTGTGTGGGCTTAAAGATGTGCCACAGCTCGATTTAGAAGCAGCAGACCGACCTAGCTCCGCCGGCAGCAATTGGTTCTCTGTTCGTTCTGTTCGTTGGAGCTCAGAGCTCCCCAAAAATTGTGTGAGTCACATTGATGCGTCCCATTCACGGCAACCTTTAGTAAAAGGCGAAAGATTGGTGCGCTATGAAGTGAACGCTGTGATGACCAGGCATGTAACTTTCGGCTTCTGCAGACAAGCTTCAGAGTGCTCAGCATACAGACATTTATGGATCGAGCCTCAGAGTTCCACCGTTTTCTCGACGTGTGCAAGCAGTTTCCAACAGTCAAAGTCAAAGCAGCCCGTTGCAACATGCATGGAGATGCCAAAACCATCTGCATGCAGCAGGGTTTCGTCCAGAAACAGCAGCAACCTTGCTGCAGAACACCAGTCACCAGTTAGTGTGCAATGTTGTTGGGCCGAAGCCCACGTAAAAATTGCAAGAATGACCTTGACGATCAAACTTGACGGGAATTGGAGTAGTTTTCAACTAGAAAACAGCGCACCTCCGCTAAGCGTCACTGATAGCGCTATTGCCCCTTCCGCAAGGATGCCTGAGGCTGGATCCTCCGGGGAATCATTTTGTGGCTAGAACTAATCATTCCTGTTGTCAAAAAGCAAGCGGCAAGATTAAGAAAACCGGCAGCTAGAACTATAATCATTCCAGTTTTTCAAAAAGCAAAATTAAGAAAATGGGCAGCAACCGCCTCTTCCATTCTTGGCCGAGCATAGTTACCCCAGTAGGGTGTGCTGCCACTGGCTTGGTGCGATGCAAGCGCAACACGTGAAGGCTTCTGAGCGAGCTCATGAAGACACTTCCCCAGCAAAAATAGATGTGACAAGCAAGTCTCCAGTTGGAGACATATCAGTTGTCACACTGATAAGAACAGATACTACACTTGATCATAGCCAAAATGCCGAGAAGGTATGCTCTAGGGTGCAGATTTCCAGATCTTGTGTGCAAGTGGCAATTGCATTGTATGCAACATATCGAATCGTTTTCAATTTGGAGGTTCCAAGAAAGAAAGTCCGAGCAAGATTCAGTTGCTCTGACCAACTTCTCATTTGGAGTTCAGGGTGGAGAAGCTCTGGATTTCGAGTCTTGAGTTGAAAGTACGAGGCCATGTTTTAGAAGGGTTGAAACTGCATTTGGCAACCAAGATGGTCTGATGTTTTGAGAAAGGGTCAATTTGGGGGTTCAGGCCGAGTCCGGAGACAAGCTTTGGGGCTTACGTATGGCACTGTCCAATGCTGGTTCGATTGCCAGGGTCCGGCTGTTTGGGGTTTAAGAGTTAAAAAGTCCGGTCCCGGGTTGGGTTGGGTGAAGAGAGTTCGAGGTTTGGGGTTGGGGAAGGAAAAAAAGGTCGCTGCCGCTGGAAGCTTTGGAATTTTGGGTTTGAGGTTGGTTTGGAATTTGTGGTTTTCGGCAGGTCTGGGTTTCGGGTTTGGGGTTGAGATCGTCCGAGTTGGGCCAAGTCGGTCCGGGCTTTCCATGACTCCGCTTCAAGCTCCAACAAAGCTTTAATCCCGTAACCTCTACAAAACCAAACCTTATCGCTTTCAAGAACCCCAGACGGGCAACCAGGTTTCGGGGGCAGCATGGCTTTGAAGGACAAACGTCATGTCAGTTGGCAACAGCTCACAAGCTAGTTGCCTCTCAACAAATTCTGCTATGGATGACTCCATCGGAGACTCCTAAGGAGTTACAGGCCTCAGAGTGCAGTGAACTGCTCGACCCTATGAGAGCGAGCTGCTGGATCTCCGCCCAACACTAGCCAGGTAAGTTTATGCAGAACCTGCATTTTTCTTGCAAGCCATGATTTGGTTCAAGTAGGCTGGGTAAGCAGTCCGACGATTTTTGCAGGTCCTTTCTTGCAGTCCGACTTCCGTTTCTCCCTGAAAAGAAGATGGCTCAATAAACCTAGTCTTGGCCCGCAACTTCCTGTACACATCAGATAAAAGCGAGAACTGTGGGTTCTGGCTTTGACCAAGTGTGGAACTAGCAAGCTTTAAACCCGAAAAGCTCTACTTCTTGCTTGGCTGGGAACACTTGTGCAGTGTTCTGGCATCGATGATCAGAGCAGGTTCCAAACATTGTGTGGGCTTAAAGATGTGCCACAGCTCGATTTAGAAGCAGCAGACCGACCTAGCTCCGCCGGCAGCAATTGGTCTCTGTTCGTTCTGTTCGTTGGAGCTCAGAGCTACCCAAAAATTGTGTGAGTCACATTGATGCGTCCCATTCACGGCAACCTTTAGTAAAAGGCGAAAGATTGGTGCGCTATGAAGTGAACGCTGTGATGACCAGGCATGGAACTTTCGGCTTCTGCAGACAAGCTTCAGAGTGCTCAGCATACAGACAGTTATGGATCGAGCCTCAGAGTTCCACCGTTTTCTCGACGTGTGCAAGCAGTTTCCAACAGTCAAAGTCAAAGCAGCCCGTTGCAACATGCATGGAGCTGCCAAAACCATCGGCATGCAGCAGGGTTTCGTCCAGAAACAGCAGCAACCTTGCTGCAGAACACCAGTCACCAGTTAGTGTGCAATGTTGTTGGGCCGAAGCCCACGTAAAAATTGCAAGAATGACCTTGACGATCAAACTTGACGGGAATTGGAGTAGTTTTCAAATAGCAAACAGCGCACCTCCGCTAAGCGTCACTGATAGCGCTATTGCCCCTTCCGCAAGGATGCCTGAGGCTGGATCCTCCGGGGAATCATTTTGTGGCTAGAACTAATCATTCCTGTTGTCAAAAAGCAAGCAGCAAGAGTAAGAAAACCGGCAGCTAGAACTATAATCATTCCAGTTTTTCAAAAAGCAAAATTAAGAAAATGGGCAGCAACCGCCTCTTCCATTCTTGGCCGAGCATAGTTACCCCAGTAGGGTGTGCTGCCACTGGCTTGGTGCGATGCCAGCGCAACACGTGAAGGCTTCTGAGAGAGCTCATGAAGACACTTCCCCAGCAAAAATAGATGTGACAAGCAAGTCTCCAGTTGGAGACATATCAGTTGTCACACTGATAAGAACAGATACTACACTTGATCATAGCCAAAAGGCCGAGAAGGTATGCTCTAGGGTGCAGATTTCCAGATCTTGTGTGCAAGTGGCAATTGCATTGTATGCAACATATCGAATCGTTTTCAATTTGGAGGTTCCAAGAAAGAACGTCC